GGAGGAAAAGGACGACCAAGGGAGCAACGGGTACATCCAATGGATAAGAGGATTCTACAGTGCAATGGGGCCTTTTGTTTCCTCCGCTCCCAGAGCCGCCTACGTCAATTACCTGGATCTTGACCTCGGAGTCATGAACACCAGCAACAGCGACAAAGAAACTGCAGATGGCGCCGTGGAAAGGGCCAGAGCTTGGGGTGAGAAGTACTTCTTGGGTAACTATGATAGGTTAGTGAAAGCGAAAACTCGCATTGATCCCCTCAACGTCTTTAGGAATCAACAGGGCATTCCTCCCTTGCCCGCTGCCAATTGACTATCCAAGACTGCCATGTATATCAGTATATGTACTACATAAATAATGATACAGTGCATACGATTTAATAATGTGTTTCTGCTGGATTAATAATATGATTCTATTGAAAAATTATTTGGGTCAAATCCGTGAATCTCGGGTGTTATATATATATACTATCCCAAAAAGTTTTTTTTTTTTTTGTTTTATGAAATTTTACTTGTCAACATTATGCTACAATATTTTTACTTCTCATTTTCTTTAAACAATTGCTTTTTGCACATAATTTTTTAAAGTCATATCAATCAAATTTTTTTTTGCATTGAAATTCCATTGCACGAATCTTGAATTGTCAAATAGTTTAACTTTGAGGAGATATTTTCAGATTTTGTGAAGTCTACTTGTATTTCTCATTCAAGACATTGTTTATGATAATTGTAGATACTACGTGACTAAAAATTGTAAACTTAATAAATTTCAATTTATTAAGTGCTGAATTAGAAACAGATGATTTGAAACAAAGCTTCACAAAGCAACGACATTGGCTTAGAAACGGGCAATTTCAAACATGCAAAAAATTTTTTTATTAAATATCGAATTAAGTTATCAAACAACAACACCTAATTATCAAATAGGATCAATTTATTAAATATTAAATTAAACTATCAAATTGGTCAAATTTTTATTAAATATTAAATTAAGTTATCAACCAAACCAAAGGTTTTGATGCTCCGACAGTACTTTACTTTTAACTTTTAACTTTTAACTTTGGGCAAATCGTCAATTTGGTCCCTAAACTTTTTCACTTAAACCAATTTAGTCCTTCACGGTTTTTTTTCACCAATTTAGTCCTCAAACAATTTTATCAAGTCCAATGTAGGACTTTTTGGGCGGCGCCACTACATTTTATGTATTTTTCACGGCGGACCAGGGGTATAATTGGAATGACAGGTATAATTGTCTAAACACCTTGACTAGAATGGCAGCTCTGTCACGATTAGCAAAAGAAACCCCTGCAAATCGACTTCTTCAGAGCTCATAGGAATTAGGCATTCTGATCAAAATGTAAGAAAATGTGATTGCCAACAGAAGATGAGCAGATCCGTGTCTTCGATGATGGAAGGTGTCGATGGCGACAAGGATGGTGAAAAGGAAGCAGTTGCAGCAACACTATCCAGTAAGCTTTAACCAGATCTTACTTAGCTTCTTCATTTTCTGCTATGCTTGTTTGATGTTTGAGCAGCTGCATGTTAGTTTAACCTTTTCATCAGAATGTTAAAGCTAATGTGTTTGTACTTTGTCGTTGTATGTGGGGCTGAAGTAGTCCAACATTTTCTTCTCTGTTTAATGACAGTGTTAAGCATGTGGGCGATTAATTAGTGGAATATGGTACATTGTGGGGTTGACGTGTTTTTTTAAAAATGTTTTCTGCGTGGGTCATATGCAGATCTGGGGATGGTGAAATATGCCATATTTAAAGCTGAATTTTTTTAATGGTGATGTGGTCCCTGTAGTTCTAAAATGTAGTGTGCTGTTGTTTTCATGTTCTAAAAAGCGAGACAAAGTAGTAGGAAAACAACAGCACACTTGAATGTTCTGATGTGGTCCCAGATCTGACTTTTGCGGTTGAATTTTCTGATGTGGTCCCAGATGTGGTTATAACATACCAGGAGGATGTTGTTATTAATTAAGTCTTTTTTGTGGTTTAAAAAAATGCAGGACAAGAGGTTGAATTTTTTACTTTGAAAATCTATCATGGGGGTGTATATGTTAAAGAACCCGTAGAGCAATATTTGGGGGGCAGCATGGAAAGTTTTGAAGGTGTCATTGCCATGAGAGTGAATAGAGCAATTGTATCTGACTTTTGCTATTATCTTGGATATCCTGCAAATGTAACAATGATGTATAGAATTCCAACTGAAGGTGGTGCACTTGTGTTGAGAAAAATAGATTCTGATGATGCAGCAACTGACATGGCTTGTATAGGCAAGCAAAATGGAGAAGCAGAAGTTTATGTTGTTTCTGAGTTTCACATTAGATTGATAGATAGTAAATGTGAGAGTGCAGTTGCATCAAACAGTTGTAATGCTACAGAAATAGAAGAAGAAGATGACTTCTTTGTAGACATAACATTTGAGGATGTTGATGTTGCTGACATAGAGGAAATTCCTGTTCATGTGGAGAAAATAAAAGAGCTTGAGAAGAAGAACCAGGAAACTTGTCAGGCTGCTGAAGTAGAACAAGGTGATGCGGATGAGGCTAATGATGCTGTAAACTCAGACTCAATGGAGGGTGAAAAGTTTCATGATAGTGACTATGATTTCAGTGAAGATGATGATGATGTCATTTTTCGAACTTCTGTTGTGGCTCCATATCAGGAGTTAGGTGCTGCAATGGATAAATTGCCAACAGGAAATTGTCAAAGTAGAAACAGAAAGGCAAAGAAAGAAGCAAGACAGGCAGCAGCACCCAATAAAAAAAAAATCAGAGTCAAAGCAACTTCTAATTCACACCTACACGTTGATGAAGGAGATCAGATTCCAGTTCATGAGGAATCTGATTCGATGGTGTCAGATGAGCTAAATAGTGTGACTGATTCCTCCGATGAAGATAGCACAAGGAAGAAGCCCAAACTGGTCAGATTTCGACCAGAAATGGACATGAATGATCCAAAATTTCATGTTGGTCAACAATTTGATGATAAGCAGCTATTCAAGATGGCAGTTGACAATTATGCAGTCAAATGGGAGAAGGATATAAAGTGGGTGAAGCATGATAAGCATAGAATGAGGGTGAAATGCAAAGCTGAACATTGTAAGTGGATGTTGTTTGCTTCTAAAATTGATGAAGGTGATGATTCCATTGCAATCAAGACAATGGGTCCAGCATACACATGTGGCAGGACCTTTTACCACAAGAGAGCTACCTCAGGTTTCTTAGCAAGAAAATATGTGGACTTCCTAAGGATGAACAACAGAATAACAGTTTCTGAGTTCAAGGATAAGGTACATGCAGAGCTGAATGTAAACATTACTAAACCTCAAGTTTATAAGACATTCATGAAGGCAAAAATTTTGATCCATGGGAGCTACAAAGATCAGTACAACAGATTGTGGGATTATTGTGAGGAACTAATGAAGGCAAATCCTGGTTCTACAGTGTATATGGAAACTACATTAGATAAAGATTCTGGAAAACAAAGATTTCAGAGACTTTACATTTGCTTCGAGGCACTGAAGAGAGGATTTAAATCTGGTTGTAGGAAGATAATTGGAGTTGATGGTTGCCACTTGAGAGGTCCACATCCGGGTGTGTTATTAACTGCAGTTGGGATAGATCCAAATGACTGTGTTTATCCAGTTGCATATGCAGTAGTTGAAGCAGAAAATAAGAGGTCGTGGAAGTGGTTTATTGAATTCTTGAAATATGACCTATCTATCAATGATCAAAGAAATTGGAGCTTCATAAGTGATAGACAGAAGGTGAATAAGATCAACTTACATTGTTTATATGTTTATTACATATATATGATGCTTACTGATTGTGCTAAACTTGCATTTGTCTATTTTGCAGGGTTTAGGATCTGCAATTCAGGAAGTCATTCCAGATGTTGAGCACAGACATTGTGTAAGGCACTTGCACAACAACTTCAAAAAAAATCATCCGGGTGAAGCATTGAAGGAAAGATTTTGGACATGTGCAAGGTCATCGTACATGAGGATGTTCGAAAATCATATGGAGTGTTTAAGGGATTATGATGTAGCTGCTTGGAAGTGGTTAAGTGACAACACCTCTCTCTATCACTGGTCAAGATCACACTTTCGAGTGGCTGCCAAGTGTGACATTCTCCTTAATAATTTATGTGAAAGCTTTAATTCGGTCATAATGGATGCAAGGGAAAAGCCAATCCTTGGAATGCTTGAGACTATTAGAATCTATCTAATGGAAAGGCTTCGTACAAAAAGGGAGTGGATGAAGAAGAGGAGTGATAAGATCTGCCCAAAAATTCAAAAGAAACTGGAGAAGGCAAAAACAGAAGCAGCTGCAAACATCGCGAGATGGTCTGATCAAGATAAATTTGAGGTTACACATATGTATGGAGGCAAACATGTGGTGGACTTAAAGCAGCAGACTTGTAGCTGCAGGAGATGGGAGTTGACTGGATTGCCATGCTGCCATGTGATTTGTTGTATTTCTTTAATAGGTCAAGAGCCAGAAAGTCTTGTTCACCATTACTACTCGCGAGAAAGTTACTTGAAGGCTTATGAGCCAGCAATTGCTCCTTTGAGTGGTCCAAATGTTTGAGTGCAATCGGATAAAGATCCTGTCTTACCACCCTTGAAGTTGAAGTTACCTGGTCGGCCAAAGAAAGTAAGAAGAAGGGAACCAGAAGAGCCTAGGCCTAATTCGAAGGGGGTTACCAAACTTTCTAGATCTGGCCTTGTTAGAATGACATGTACAAAATGCTATCAAAAGGGGCATACAGTGAGAAAGTGTCCACTGCTGGTACCTTCTAATGAGCTTGGTGCATCTACCAATAAAAGGCCACCACCGTCCAACTCCAACAAGTGTAGCAAATGCAAGGCACTTGGCCATAACAAGAGAACTTGTCCACAAAAATCTGGTAATTTGACCTATCCCTCATCCACTGATTTATGGTGTAATACTTAACTAATGATGCTTTGACATGTACAGATCAAGTGTTCAGGAAGGAGCCGACTGAAGTACCTCTGGAATCTAGCTCAATGCCAGATGTTCCAAGTGGTCAGCAATTTAGAATTTTTCCATGTAACTCATGATAATTTTATTCTTGTACTTGTTACTTGTTTTAACTTTATTTCATGGTCAGGTGATAAAGCACAGGCTGTTATTGATGAACAAGAGGTTATTGATTTACAACCATCGGGTCAAGAAGAACTACCTGAAGTGCAAAAGAAATTCACCAAGTGTTCATTCTGTCATGGCTTAGGACATAACCGGCAAACATGTGCAACCTGGCAAGCTCAAGCATGGAGAAAAAGAAAGGCTGCTATGACTGTTTTTGGTCCATTCCCTCCATCAAAAGGGAAAAATGACTAGGAAAAAGGAGAAAGTAAGTTCAAGTAATTAAAACAGAAACAAACAGCATGTCTTGCACATTTGCTGGACAATGATTTTGACATGACTTAAAACAAGACTGTTTATGGCTTTTGACATGTGCCTTTATTTGTGTAGGCACATAGGCTGTTGGATGAAGAAGATGATATTGTCGCCCAGTCAAGTTAATGGAGTTTGGGAATACAGCAGACTTCTATTTTGTGGGATATGCTCTGTTTTGTACATTAAGAGCTTCTGTTTTGTCAATGGATACTAATTGGATTAACAATACGATTCTGTTTTGTACATTTGATGTGGCTGCATTTTGTCTAAAACGAATTCAATGCTGAAGTAAAATGCAGCCTGCTATATTGGCAATGTCGCACCTATGTTGATGACTATGAACTTCTATTCGCACTCTTCCTATACCATTTACTTTGACTTTCTTCTTGTTGTTTAGCAGTTTATATGGGGTATTTGTGCGAGTAGGGATTATCGAAATTTAGGATGAAATGCTATCAAATTTTTTATACAACTTGAGGTGAATCTCTGTTAAATTTTAACAAAGGCATCTTTCAAGGTAATATGCCCAACAACTGACAAAATCTCTCAATCATTTTATAGCCATTTCGTTTCAGTAAATGTGCCCAGCAACAACTGACAAAATCTCTCGATTAATTTACAAAAACATCATTCGAGACAATGTTCCATTTTAATGCATAAACATGTTCCATACACCCATGTCTACATTCCAACATTACAGCATTCAAATTACATGAAGCAATTACTCAACTTCTAACTTCATACAGGAACATCTAATGTAGCATTTTTAAGTTGACATTCCTTTCATTGCCACTGGGTAATAGTACAGCAATAACCATAATACATATGCAAACCACGACCAGCATTAGCCACTTCCTTGCTGCTTTCAACTTCCTAATTTCACTTTTGAGCGCCTTGTTCTCTTCTTCAAGCTTACACATTTCAATTTTCATGAAATTATTTTCTTCCTCAGCTTTCCTCAAATTCTTCAAAATTCTCGCCATCATATTTTTTGTCATCTGTTGCATAGGTGGATCATACCACAGAAAATAATTGCAGGCTTTTGGGGTCTACAATGACCATTAATTCCAGCTATTAGTTGTAGTAAATTATATAATACATCAAAATATACAAGTTATATGTCGTGATTAATTGTAAAAATTACCCCATAATTTATGCATCCATGAAATCTTCTGCCTGGGTTCGTCACTGTCCATGAAGTTACAATTCTACATTCTTCACGGCAATGGCAAATTACTGCTTCATTCCCATTGTAGAATTTTACCCTCTCTCCCTTCACCCTTGTCGAATGCCCACTTACTCGGCTATCCAGATTTGAGTGTTGGCTGCTACATAAACTTGAGGCGGAGTTGTCGAAATTTCTGCTTGATTGCATTTCACCTGCTTGTCGAAGTCTCTCCCTCAGTTCTGCTTGTCGAAGTTTCTGCCCTAATTCCTATGAGCTCTGAAGAAGTCGATTTGCAGGGGTTTCTTTTGCTAATCGTGACAGAGCTGCCATTCTAGTCAAGGTGTTTAGACAATTATACCTGTCATTCCAATTATACCCCCTGGTCCGCCGTGAAAAATACATAAAATGTGGTGGCGCCGCCCAAAAAGTCCTACATTGGACTTGATAAAATTGTTTGAGGACTAAATTGGTGAAAAAAAACCGTGAAGGACTAAATTAGTTTAAGTGAAAAAGTTTAGGGACCAAATTGGCGATTTGCCCTTTAACTTTTAACCGCATAAAAGCAAGAAGAGTCTCCAAAACTCAGGACAGGAAGCAATCGCCTCATCCACCGCCTCTGCATTCCAGAACTTTCTTTCGCCCCTCTAACATCGTACCATCTTAAGGCTTATAGACGACAGCAGGCAGCGGCACACTCACTCGTCCACCCAAGGTAGCGGAGAGCCCAGAAGAAGAAAGAGAAAGAAATGTTCAAGAAGGCAGCGGAAGTGAAGTCACAACAGCGTCTATCTGGCGCCGACCGGAAGAAGCTAAGGCGAACTGTTGCAGCCCGCTTTCCCAATGCCTCCGATGCCGATATTGATTCCTTACTTCCTCCTAAGGTATTAAATAGATAGATTACTTCATGATGAGTGAGTTTTCTGGACCATGATCAAGGATGGATGAGGGAAATGTTGCAAAATTTATGATGACTAATTGCGCAAAATAATTGTCGCCTTTCGTGAAATGCTGCCTTTGCTTAAGGGTTTGCTTATCATCAGTTGGGCTGTGGAATTTGAGGATGATAGGTGGTTCAAGATTGCACTTTTTTCTCCTTTTCTTTGTTTGCACCACCCCCTCAGTGCTTTCACTAATTGGAAGAGGAAGAAAGAAGAAAAGGAATTCTGATGGCTAGTCTTACTTTTTTTTGGCTTGTGGAAACTAAAATTGTAGTATTAATCACTTTATAAATTACCATGAATCTTCTTTTGGTTCATCGATATATCATGGCTCGCTCAGGCCATTTAACGATGACTACTGCAAAATCTGATGGTGAAAAATGATGTTCTTCTTTGTTCTATCTGTCTAAATAGAGTAAAAAGCAGCTTCTTGATGATTACTATGCGGCTTAAATGTTCTGTAATTGTTTATGGCTCATTCGAACAAACGTGTATCTTAATAAACTGGTTAATGAGTACTCCTTTTGCTGTCACCTGGATGCCAAAAATGTGTGTGTGTGTGTTTTTTTGGATTTTGTGTTGGGTTTAAACTTGGATGAGGAATCTAATGGGGTGCGTTTATGAGGTTTTGCTGTTGAAAGCTTCTGCCTGATAGGGGCTTTAATATCGCTTTGGTTGCTTTGAGGATAAGAAGAGCAATTCTTGCATAACAGATTTACAAAGTCCTTTTATTTTCCACTAAATTGCTAATTTCCAAATGTGTAGAAGTTAAATTTGGGGATTTTAACTTTTTATACCCTGGATGCAGAATTTCTTTCGAAATGAGAATTTGTTGCCTGAGGGCAAGCTAGAATATTCCGCTGAGGGAGCTAGAATGAAGTTGCTAAACCTTATAGAGGGCATACCTGTTGGAAAATCCTGTTACTCTCTGCAACTCTGCTCATTTAGTTTTCCTTTATTGTGCAGAGAATAGGACTATATGATGCACTTCACTGTATAAGGTCTTGTGTCTGGTGAGATAAGAGCCCTAATAGGACTAGATCTAATGACAAAAGTAAAATCTCGCACCATTTGGAGGATTTTTCTTAACAGGCTGTTGATGAGACCTGGGCTTTTGAATCATGACATCACTGAAATATATTTTCTTTTCCTAAATGGAAGTATGTCTAAATTAGGCTCACAAGTCTTGCTGAATAAACATATTGTTGGTTTTTCCAAGCTCATATGTCCACGCAACGCCCTATTTTGGAATTCCTAAAATGATACATTCTGATGTGTTGTGCTGATTCTTGATGAATAAAGTATCAAGTAGTTATTTTGCCTGTCATATGTTTAACTCCACTTGACCTGATTGGAATTATGACTTGTCTGGAAATTTAGGATTGTAAATGAATTCAAAATTGCTTGATGTGTTGTTGTTTTCCTGATAGTCTCTCGGCTTTGGTGCTTGTTTAGCAAGTTATCTGACACTTGGAAGAAAAATTCTTTCTATTTGCCTATCCAGGAAGTTTTGATATTTCTGTTATCAATTTTAACTGAATCTATTGCTGTTGTAAATCAGGCAGAGATAACTGTTTCGAAGTATCCAAATCGAATTCTTGTATATTGTGTGGAGGGTGCCCATCCCATGTTTTTCGATATTGATGGGCGTGGCACAGAAATATTGCCCACAGGTACTTATTATGGAACATCTGGCGCGTATTAAACTCTATCGTGTGCTTCTGTTCTTGAAGATGCTTAAACTAATTATGACCTTCATTTGTTTTTCTTAATTCATGTTGGCATTACCCATAGATTTTTTTAAGTTGTTACCTTTAGGTTACATACGGTAATTAAATGTATGTTTTCAGTAGGAGACGAGAAAATCAGTATGTAGTGAACATTCCTTTATAGATCAAGTGTGGTTGTTCCCTGCTAGTGTTAATATATGTGGCAACAATTCATTTGACTCTCGTTCAACAAAGCTCACAGTTCAGGACAACACTTTCTCCTTATGTGAGGTGCAGTTGCCATTTCAGGATCAATACTATCTTTCGTTTAGTACATATGACTGATCTAGCAAATACTTATGTTTTGTGAACCTTATTTTCTCAATGAATTTGTTGGTGTTGTTTTACGTATTTCTTTGGGTGATTAGTCAATGTGGGGATGGAATATCACGTTTCCAAGAAAGATGGTATTCTACAATGCGTAAAAGGTCAGATGGGTTGGCTGTTTATTCTTTTCTAAACCACCACTAACGGGCATAACTTAAGATTTGGTCTGACAGAGAGTATAAATATTTTTGTGCTTGATTTGTTCTTTTTTTCTTTCTCTTTTCATTTTATGTCACCCCACCCATATCAGGTGGCAATTTCTCAGTTGTGCTTGATCTGTTTCTGCGTGCTTTAGGTTGAAATTTTTTGCATTTTGGCCCTTTACATCAAGCTAACGTTTTCTGTATATAACCTTGGCAGTTTATGCTCTTTGGAAGGTCCCGGAACTTTTGCCTGCATTTTGGCTGAAAGGGGGTGAAGTTTCTCAGTATGTACTTGGTGGGGCAGATTTGATGTTCCCTGGCGTTTACATACCTGCTGAAGGTCTTCCAAATTTTTTAGCCGGGGAGCCATGGGCAGTGAAAGTTCCTGGCAATCCTGCTCCAATAGCTGTAGGCTCTTCGAACTTTGGCTGTCTTGTCATTCAGATCAATTGAATTGTCTAGAAGTTTTGTGTTTTATTGACACGGAATCTATTTTAATTAGGTTGGATTGACCATGATGAGTGCCACTGAAGCTTCAAAAGCTGGTTTACGCGGAAAGGCCTTAAAAATTAGTCATTACTATGGAGACACACTTTGGTAAGACTTGGAACTTGACAGGATTTCTATTGATCAAGAATAAGGTACATAATTTCTCCTCTCATCTGCAAGGAATCAGTAGAAAATCCTTATGTTCCAAATGCTGGTTTTTTTGAAGATGTTGTCTTCGAGGATCCTGCTTTTGTATCGGCTTGTGAGGCTTCGGATTCATGTGAAGGTGATGTTTCAGTTGATGATGGAAATGCAGTCAACAATGAAGAAATTGGAGATGTGGTGGATGTTAAAGATGATCAGTCCGCTGGTGCTGCTTCTACAGCTCTAACTGATGTGGCAAATGAAATT